GTGAGAACCTCACTATATGTTTGCAATGTGTTCTATTCACACAGCATACATACATTTTAAAAAATATTTTTTACCTTTTAGATCAGGGCGGATTTGATTTAAATCAAACTGATTTAAATCCCGATTTAAATCACTAGTCAGTAAGGCTTGATTTAAATCCTAGTTTTCTACATAAAGACTAATTCTTGCTGGTATAACTTTAATATACAAGTAGATGAAGATTTTTAGAATAACAACTTTTCATATTAGTTTTTTTTATCCCCAGTTTAATAGGTTAATCATTCATATTTGGACAACTTTTCTGTTGTACTTAGGCAGGAGAAAAATAATCATTACCTTAATAACAATTTAAATAGATTTATTCATCTGAAACAATAACATTCCAGCATATCTTATTTGCTTAAACATCCATGTTTGTTAACTAATTTGGCTAAACAAAATCTATATATTTTAAGAAACTTAGACTGTCAGCCCCTTCCTCCTCACACTTAGTTTCACTTTCTTCTTGTGCAGATCTATTCCACTCCAAACAATCAGAAAAATATTGTTTCTATTCTATTCACTGAACTTCTTGAAACTTAGCAGTGAAGGGGTTGATTCTGTATTCATAGGTTTGTAGAAGTTAGGATGAAGGTCTTTTTCTTAACTCTGTTCATGTTATAACATTTTTGCTGTGAAGAAGAGGCATGTGATCTCCGCTGAGTCAAATTCAGTTTTGAGAACTGCAAAAGTAAACCGAGCATCTGTGATAATATCTTGTAGGCAGAGAAACTGCCCAATAATCTTACAAAAACATCTGGAAGAGCATGACATTGTGAATGGATTAATGGAATTTATTTACCAAAAAAATTAAACATATACAGCCTTATTCTACATAATTAAAAAACTAATCTTTATTTCATGATGGAATAACCTTTGGATGGTAATATATTTTCCTCAAAAAGCATTTTATTTTAAAAAAATCGATTTAAATTTAAAAAAATCCGATTTAAATCAAAAAAATCTTGATTTTTTTAAAAAAATCATTGATTTTTATCCACCCTGTTTTAGATGTTTCTGAGGAGAAGGTGTCATGGCTGACTGTAAGCATTTCTCAGCTCATAGTGATTTGTCCCAACAGCTGGGCTGGGGCTTGGCTGAGTCTCGTTCTCAAAACATACAATGTAAAAGCCCAGCAATAATTTTTTTTTTTAATAAAAGCGGAACTTTACCCATAACAATGTGTTAACAAATGTTCTTTCCACATTATTTATGCTACCAAAATTAGTATGTGCATAAATTGCCTCCAGAATTGTTCCGGTTTCTTCTTGCTGGAGGCTGCCATTTTGCTAAAGCCCAGAGCCCCTGAGCAGCAGTAAACCTTTAGGCTGTCAGCAGATCGACCTCTACATTTCCACACAGTGCCAAAAAATAGAAAGCAACTGAGCATGTGCAGAGGTATGTAATGTTTTACATACCTGCAAAAGGAGTCAACCTGAAGTGATCTAGCAGGACTTCATTTTCTGACTAAAGAGACACTTTAAGGCAGATAGTGTTCAAATCTAGTACAAATGATGTGATGTCTGCTTTCAGGACAGTGTTAAATATGGTAAATACAGCATCCCAACCCCCCTCATAACAAACAGAACTACGTAGAATTTTTCCTTGCTGGAAGTTCTGTAAAAGAGCATTGACAATGGTAAGCTGCGATTTCTAAATATATATATATATATATATATATATATATATATATATTTATTTTTTTTTTTAAGTTTTGCTATAAGACTGGAAAAATGATATAAAATAGGCGTTATACCAATTTGGCTTCAATAAAAGAGCATTTTTTGGCACGATCAGTCATATTTTCAATATCAATGCCAAAATTTCACAATTTCTGCCACGGTATGCAAACTTTTGAGCAAAACTGTAGATACAAAAGCTGACATTCTTTGAAAGTATATTTGCCAGTCGTCACATAACAATGTATAATTTGTCTGCACATTTATGGGAATGCTATGGAGAGAAGGGATTGTGAGCAGGCTTCTTCTGGTGCAGAATAACATTACTACAAAGTATCTAATCCTGACGTCCCCTTTTTACAGCCAAGATTAGGGGTGACTGCTGATGCATTAGACAGGAGACCATTTCAGAATAGTGTATATGATTTGTTTTACCTGCCAAAAGGATCTGTGTTTTTGCCCAGTAGTTTTTAGATTTACACAGCTCTGGCAGGGGAAGAGATCTAATCTTTTTCTGCAATGGTTCAGTAGCACTTGCCGTACTCCTCCCCATCCCTGGACACTGAAAGGAGAAGCAGTGGAGTGATCTCTATGTCACTCTACTCTCCCCTGTTCTCTCTTCCCATAAGCATGCTCCTTGTGTTGCTTCTCCCTCCCCAGTCTGTACCCTGCTGTATAAGGACTACAAGAGGATGATGCCAAAGTCAAAAGCAGGTACTTGCACTGCTGGCATATAAAAAAAAAAAAAAAAAAAAAAAAAAAAAAAGATGTATTAATGAATACAGAGCTGCAATAATGTTTGGAGGCTCTGGATTGATTAGATCACAATTCATTAAATGCAGACCTGGTAGTTATTAGATGTAATGGGCCTGGTTTATCAGTGCCTCTGATGGAAAGAGTCTCAAAACGTCTATGTTGCCCATAGTAACAAAGTAGATTTTTGTTTACTCCCAAACACTGCACTGGGATAAGTAAAAAGGCAGAACAGGTTTTTTTGGAATGTTCTGATGGGTGCCAGTACTGCTCAGATAACTATGGCATTTTAGGGTTTGGATTCAAGTGTTAAAGTACAGCCAAAGCTTTTTTGCCTGTTCTTTTCCTGTGGATCACGGATTACAGTTTGTTCTGGACTCCTGTGACCTCTTTTTAGCTGACAGCTGGCTAAAGTTTGCTGTCGGCTGATGTCACTCAGCTGGAGGAAGGGTCGGTTCACACCACAATATCTGCATTCTAGATGCTTTTTTTGCATGCGTGTTTTTCTTGTGTTCCAGTGCATTTTTGATTCATTTTTTTCTTCATCTCCTTCAGGGCATACAGCACTCTGCATAAATGAGTACACCCCAACAGATTTGTCAGAAAACCTTTCCTTTCAGAATTAGCATTTCCTTTGGGGCACTATACTACAAAATACTCCTTTGATTTCAAACTGGATTTGTTAATTTGCACACACAAAGTATTTTTCTTAATAAATTCATTCAAGACCATGTTACAAAAATGAGTAAACCCCAATGAAAGTCTTTGGATCAAAGCTAAATTTTAGACAACAAAATCCAAATTAACAAGAATTCACTTACAGGTGAGTCTAATTATTCATTAAACAGGTGTCCAGCAGACAGTTGATTATAAAAGGGTGTTACTTAACGAAGAAAACCCCTTCTATTTCATGCTGTCAGCAATGGCACCACATGGAAGAGAAATGTCACAAGGCCTGAGAAAGAAAATTATTTCTTTACATAGAAAGATGAAGGCTACAAGAAGATCAGCAAAGCTTTACTTATCAGTCAGAATACTGTAGCAAAAGTGATACAAAAATGTAACAAAGATGGAACTGCAGTCATCTCACAGACACATCCAGGCCATCCATGGAAGTTAACAACTCGATAGGAGCTTCTTCTGATGAGAAGGGTTGAAGAAAATCACCATGCAAGTTCACTGCAGTTAGCTAAAGAAGTAGAAAGCCAAACTGGGGTGATTGTTTCCCGTGACACAATATGGTGTACAATGCAGAGGCATGGCGTGCATGGGTGGCGTCCACGGAGGAAGCCTCTCCTAAAGCCCATGCGTAAAAAAGCCTACCTAGAATTTCCCAGGGCCAAATAAAAGATGACTACTGGGACTCTGTACTCTGGAGTGATGAGACCAAGACAAATGTTTTTGGAACTGATGGCTTCAAATCTGAGCCAGTTCAGCAGGGGCTTGCCAAGATTCAAACCATGTATGGGCAGGCTGAATGTATCCAAGTTTATTGATCGATCGTTTAACTTGGGTACAACCAGCCTGTCTGGTTTTACAAGTGATTATTGGTAGTGGCTATTATAACAGCTCCCCCGCACTCCTGCCGGGAGAACACAATGACTCCAAGGGAGGGATTCCCCGATCAACACCGACTGTAAGAGCCGTAGTTGCAGGAAAGAAAAATCACACTGGCTCTGGCCGACTTAAGGAAAAAGAGTTAACAATATCCAGTATGGAGAAGTATTTGTTGAATGGGATGGCAACATGAATGTCAGTGGGTAAGTTTAAGGTTTTATTTTGAGGTTAGGTGTTAGTGGGTCAGGGTGGGGATTAAAAGTTAGGGTCAGCCCAAGCCTAGGTTCACACCGGCGCATGTGCTTTTCATGCATTTTTTGGTCCATTATTGCAGCACATTTTTGATGGGTTTTCATGCTTCAGGTGTGGAAAAAGAGACTGGTTATTAAACACGAAACCCTACTAAAAACTCAAGTACATGCATTTTTCATGTGCTTACATTGAAGTTTATGGACCTAAAAAGTACACCTCTTTCAAAAACACACAGCATGAAACAGCATCGATGTGATCGGGACCATGTAAAAGCGATTGTTGTGTATTCTTGAGCTGCTTAAAAAGGCACAGGTATGAACCTAGCCTAAGGGTGTGGTGAACATTCCATGTCAGGGCACTGTTGTTTCTTCCCACCACACCAAACAGCTTATTTTAAAAGCTAATTTATCTGGGAAAATGTGAATCTGATTTGTTGATATCTGCTGTCCAAGACAATCCCCTCTAGCACAAGTGAATAAATAAGAAATGCAGTCTCTGTATTAGAATCCCAGCTGCAATGTACACAAGCATACCTGTACATGGAGATGTGCCTTAGTCAATTCCCCAAAGACCTTTCTGGGCTGAGGAAAACACCATAATCCCAATAGCTATGCACGTCCAGAAAACCATATAGTTGTGTATTCCTTGTAAAACTGGTATAAGCAGTACTTAGATCAGTTCTCTACTAAATTTCTTTCCCCCAATCAGATTTCACCAAGGTCATATGGTTTTCAGTGATGTAGCATGTGTTGTAGAGTCCGTTCCTGTTCTGTTCTTGATATGTGACAACAACAAGGCTATACCCTGCTCCAGAGCTTGAGGTAGCATCTCCTGCTCTGCTTTTGTAAAATGTCCAAGCACATGTGGTGTTACTGAGGACTTGTCATCTGGACGTCCTATCCCGATCAAGAGCCTGGTCATCACCTGTAATAAAAACACACATTAAAGTGGGCCTGAACTCAAAAACTGAGGATTTGCTATGGTATTGAGAACATCTGGAAAGGGTAATTATGCCTAAGCAAGCAGTGCCCTAAAAGTGTATTGGGTCTTGAATTCCTCTTCAAAAGTAGCAGTACACTTCTTGGTATGTGAGAGATACCATTAGCGTCATAGTTGTACATCTAAAGTGCGAGATCTATGGTACTGTTGCCTCTGGCTGTCAGTCTCATGAAATTTGTAGTGATATTAGTATTGACCTACTTACTGTTCTCCTTGCTGGAGGGTCCTACATGAGGAAGCAAACCTTTGCCTCTAACAAAATGGCCGCCTCCACGCACAGTGCAGAACAAGCCATAGCAAGTCAGTAATGTTTAAAATAATAATAACCACAGACAACGCTATGGACTAAAGTCATTTGCCTTCTGCCTGCCATTTTTTTGGGCACAACCTTCAGAGTTCAGTTCCTTTTCAATCAATTGAGGTTTCAGTACTATAAACCAACACTGGTCAAAAAGCATTCTAAATGGTATACTTACATCTGACTGCAGATAGTCAATGCAGGAACGAACACCTTTGTGGCCTCTGGGGAAAAAAAAAAAAAACTGATCAAAAAATAAATAAAAACAACTACAGAAAAGGAAGTGAAGATATTGGCTATTAATGGGACTTCCCCTTGGGTACCATATGGGATGTCTTTGCAGGTGCACTCCAGCTAAACCATACTGTATATTTAATGTTTTACCCACCAAAGGAACCATAACTCTGTTAGGCCAATCTTGAGATTGACACACTTCTAGGACACTGCTTAAGCAAGAACATTGCTATTTTCTGTACAGTCTGGGGATGTGAATCACAAGACTGACTCAACAGAAATATAAACCCTTTGTCAACACTATGGGGGAGATTTACTAAAACTGGAGCAATGAGAATCTGGTGCAGGTGTGCATGGTAGCCAATCACCTTCAGCTTGTTCAATTAAGCTTTGACTATAACCCTAGGTTCACACTTATGCAGATTTTTGTGCATTTTCCAGTTTGCAGAAAATTCACTACAGTCCATTTAACATGATTTCCTATGGATCTAGCTTACATCTGTGCATTTTGAGCTGGTACAATTTGGAAAGGGTCAAATTTTTTTTTCCCGTAGCAGATTGCATTTTGCATGTAATTGACTTCATTGAACCTGCATCAAAAACACAAGTGTTGCATTTTCTTATACATTTTGCATTTTTTTATCCAATGGGAAATTTTTGACTTATTGATCATGAGTGTGACTTTGATGCAACTTTTTTGTTTTAGCTAATAGGAAAGTATAATCGTTCTGTTCATGTAGTGCAACTTTGATGTGACTTCACACTCTCTGTGGAAAGTAGTATCAAAGTAGTGCAGGAACATTCATGTGTCCAAAGTCTCATGTTAGGGTTGGGGTTAAGGGCTAGCGTTGATGCTACTCGAGTGCCAGAGAGCATAAGCCCGCATCAAAGTTGCACTATATTAACAGAACTGTTAGACTTTCCTTTTACGAAGAAAAAAAAAAAAGTTGAATCAAATGTCATACCCACCCAAAGTGACATCAAAGTCAATACTTACCTATTAGCAACAAAAAAAATGCAAAAACGCAAAATGCACTGTGAAATCACACAATCCGCAATCTGCATAGATGTGAACCTAGTCTTAAACCTGAAAGCTGATTGGTTTCTATGCAGAGCTTAGCAATTTTAGTAAATAACCCCCTATGTATGTTAATTTATTTGAACTGTTTGCCTAGAGATCGGCTTTAAAGTACTCATTACTAAGGTACAAGGCTGCCAATGCTGACCTCCTTCTGAAAATACTGTTAGCTGGTTGTCTTTGGCTTCAAAACTTCACTGATCCAGACCAAGAATTTAGAAGGTGAAGGAAATGGGAGACTATATATTCCCTTTAAAGTGGAGCTCCAGTCAAAACTGAAAAAAATAAAAGCAGCTACAAAAACTGTAGCTGCTGACTTTTAAAAAACAGCCACTCACTTGACCCTCGATCCCGTGTTGTACTCGCCACAGCCGGTTTCACCAGTTGTCCTTGCTCCCCTGCATCTTAAATGTGGGAACTTGGCTGTGACAGCTTGCAGCTTCACAGCCAGGTGCCCACTGCTCATGCACGAGTAGCGCTGCACCTTGTGAATGGTCCCGTAGTCTTCTAGGACCTGTCACGTGTTTGAGAAGACTATGGGAGTTGGAGGGGGGACAACCTCCGCTTCCAATCTAAGCGGAAGAGGGAGCAGATACCTGTCAAAATCTGGTACCTGCTCCACCCCTCCATTCTCCAAAGGTGCCAATTCCTCACGGTGAGTGGGGGACCAGTACCTAAACAGGCACTTCCTCTTTTGGATGGAGCTCCGATTTAAGTTGCAGGTTCTTCACTTTATATAACACCACCATGTAAAGCAGGACTGTGCTGTGCGCTGCTAGCTATACTGAACTAAGCCAACATAAATGGATAGATTGTTCATAGGAATATATGATTAATGCACTGCAGAGGGGACAAAGAACATTTTGTTTGATGGTATTCCCCTGGTGTCATAAGGACAGGACATCAGGTAAACCTCTTCAAAGGGGAAACAGACAGTAACATAAACCTGAGAGATGAGCTACCCCTTCCCCATATTATCTTAATAAACATGAATAAAAAACTACTTAAAGTGTTACTAAACCCAGGACCCTGCATTCACTATATCTAGTCTCCCACAGTACACACAACATGGAAATGCAATTATTTTAGTAAATCTAAACTGCTGAATACCTTTTCTCATCAGCAGTATATAGCAGACTTGTGACTTCTATCAGTGTCCAGCAGAGCACTGGTTAAAGCTTGTAGGAGGAGTATTTATTCTCTTCTGAATGTCCTATGAGGCTAAACAACCCCTGACCCTCTGTCTGGACAGTGCTGATCGGCCCTGTGCTGATCACACATCACCCCCCCACAAAGAAAAAATAAATGCTCCAGCCATACACACTGAACTGAGCATGTGCAGATTGACTCCTAGAGCTCTATTATCAGCAGATGGATTGGGTACAGTAGAAGAAGGGGAGGATCATAGAAAACAGGACTAAACAACCTTTTACACAATGGGGAGAATTAACCCCTTAGGCTCCACAGTAAATATAACAAACATGCTTTGCTGCATATACAGACTGATTTTACTGTTGTGGATTTAGTAACACTTTAAGCCCTCCGTGACCGTAATCAACACTATAAAATTCCTGTGGTAGTCTCGTCTTACTACACAAACTGTTGTTTCTTGTCCGAGTGCTGCACAATTCCCTGGTAAAGTATGGAGGGCTGCCTGCAAATTTAAACCAAGCCAGAAGAATCAATTTGAGTTTGATCCTTACATCCATACACCTCCACCTCCTTCCACTTGAAAACAACATTTAACAATTTGGAAAAAGTTCTAATTTATTGTTATTTTCACACAAGTGCTGTGTTTTTCTGAATTGTCCACTTACCTAGCACTCCCACCAAGTTTAAGAGACACCTTCCCAAGAGGCTTGTCTAGCTCGTCATGCAGCAGATAGATATTTTGAGGGGTGAGATGGAATTTTCCAGCTGGAGAAGGAAAATACTAATATTAAAAGTAGTTCTTCCACTAGTAATGGGGTCAGATGGATGTTTTGACTGTCGCAGTTAGTAGGGCCCTTTAAGCCCATTTTCTTTATAAATCAGAACAGCAGTCAAATTTAAAAAATGACTTTATATAGTTAAACAATCATTAAATTCATAAGTACAGCTTGTATGAATGCCTGTGTTTATATTAGCTTCCTAGTATAGCAACACTCAACTGGAAGAGGAACACTCCAAGCCAGTCAGGGTTCAAGTGTTTTGCATTGTGCTGTCCAGTCTACAGATCTGATGGAAAAAAACATCGGTGGCAAAATCAAACTGAAGTTATGGCTCCAAGTAAAAATACAATTTTCTACAGAGAAGTAATATTAATGTCCCACCAGCATTAGCTACACTTGTTCCATTAACATTCATGAATTGACGGGGTTTTAGTAAAACTATCTGCATTCCATCTTGTTTGGTGGTGATGAGATCGGCTCCAGTCCTCCTGTCTGTTTTCCACTGATCTGCGACATTCAGTCTTCGTGCCAGCAGATTGACAGCTGCCATCCCAACACTGTGTCTGGTACCCGACATGCCATGGTTACCCAAACCAACCACCTACATAGGAGAAAATGCACAAATTACATCTCTTTATGTGCATCTCCTAAGCATTAGCAGAGTTATGCTCATCTGTTTTTTATACAATGTATTTAAAGCGGAGTTCCACTCACACTGTAAAAAAATAAAATCAGTAGCTTCAAAAACTGTAGCTGCTGACTTAAAAAAACAGCCACTCACCTGTCCCTTGATCCCACGGTATCCTCCCTGCAGCCCGTTTCACCGACCGTCCTGTGTTCCAGGCACCGGCATCTTCAGTGTGGGCACCTGGCTATGATTTCTTGCGGCTTCACAGCCGGGTGTCAACTGCAGATGCGCGAGTAGTGCTGCGCTTCATGAATGGCCCCGTAATCTTCTGGGACTTGTCATGTGTCCCAAAAGACTATGGGGAGGGGTGGAGGATCACCTAGGCAATCACAGTGGAAGTGGGAGGGGGTACCTGTCAAATTCGGGTACCCGCTCCCCAAAGGTGCCAATCCTTAATGGGGAGCGGGGGACCAGACTTTAAAGCAGAACTTCCCCTTTTAGGTGGAACTCCGCTTCAAGTGCGCATGTTAAGGGTATCGGTTCTCTTGAAACAACAGGGTTGTCCCTTGGCAAATGAGTGCCTCTCCTACTTAAAGTGGAACTTTAGTCAAAAAATGAAGCCCTGCTAGATCACTTCAGACTGGCCCCTTTTGCAGGTATAGCTATGTAAAACATTAAAAATAAGTGTCTATACTGTTTAACATACAGTAATACACTGTCTCACCCTGCTCTGTACATGCTCCGTTGCTCTTCATTTATAGGCACTGCGGAGATTGTAGAGGTCGATCTGCTGACAGTCTAAAGATTAAAACGGAACTAAACCCATCAATTTAACAGGCTAAAAAAAACAGTTACGTTCCCGGCTTGCCAAGAATGCTGTCACATTTCCTTGTGTTCTCAACCCCACTGTCGAACCATCAAATGGCTGGTGTTATAATTGATCATATGTGCAGCACCATGGCAGTTGCAGTTCAAAAAGATGGCAGCTTCCTCGACTGATAAGGATAGGATGGTTTAGTTCTGCTTTAATTTTGGCTGCATAATTATTAATGTGGAATAAATGTTCTTTGCTAAAGAACGTTATTTTTTTTTATCAATTGCTATGAGTAAAGTTCTTTAATGAGCTATTGTGATCTATGACAGTTGAGATGCAATATAAACAAATGACAGCCAGCCAATCACTACCCATGCAGAATGGAAATACTCTTACAGTTAAAGAACATATTCCCTCTTGAAATTCAATATTAAAACTTATCAATACCATTTCTTTGAGTCAGATTTTTGAAATGTTCCTGACTTCCATGTTTTGAAGATCTCTGCCTAAATATGTAAATCCCTGTAAATTTAGATGGTTTGCGACCATAGGCTGTTCCGTTTTTCAGTAGGCCTTTGGGGGACACAGTAGATCACAAGATATATGCCCTGACACTAGGAATTAGTTTCTAAGTAAGAAGAAATCATGACTTCCCCATGAGGCCTGTAAACTCCTGCAAGAAAGTAGATTTGGGTAAACATAAGAAGCATAAGCCACACAGGCAACAGGCCTAACAGCTATGAAATATTGGCTAGAACCCCCAATATATTTCTATATAAAAAAAGATTTTAAAGGGTGTTACAAAAATCTCTTTGTCCCATGTTCATTGGAGGATACAGCAGACCACTGGGATGTCCAAACACAATCCCAAATACGAGATGGGAAATATCTCAAACCTCACAGGCAACCTGAAGGTAGTAGTGGGTCCAGATGATCACACAGTCTCTTGCAAGTCCTGACCAAAGAAGGCCTCACCTAAGGCTGCTATGTCCACTGGATGATAGTTGTAAGTTCCGCATTTCGGAAAGGCTGATGTCCATTGTTAAACAGCCTAGGATCTTCCTGATGCTCTACTGGCCGAACTAGAGACAGAGAAAGGAGGGAACCCTCCCTTAATTATATACACCCAACAAAGAACCCTTGGGTATGAGGAACAGCAAATCCAACCTGTGGAAAGGAGCAGTATTGGTTCATGTAGACTTCTTGCCACGTCTAAGGAGTGAAGTGTAACCTCCTTCAGATGGAAAAATAGAAAAGAACAAGGTCTTTATTACAAAATACACTACCTGGACAGGAAAGGACAGATGAGGTCCACTCTGTGCCAGGAAGGGCAATATACTAGAGAGAACTGACAAATGGAACTGATGTCAACCAGAAAGGGCAGAAAAACAGATTTGTTGAAGGTATGTTATGCAATGGTTTAAAAAAGGGGACCCTGTTAGACTAATAAAACCCCTCCAACATGTGAGTTGATTTTGGACCCAGAAGCAGTTGCCACATGTAAAATCTGGGGAGAGTATGGACATGTGGAGGGGTACTTGCAATGATTGCATAGTGAGGCAGCCTGACCACTAGCAAAGCTGGAGTTGCAGTGGGCACAGGTTGAGTAATTTTTGGGCAGGAAAGATCTGTTAGTCTCAGTTTGGGGACTTGCCCTTTATATGTGCTTCAGATCAGGGGCAGACTGACCATTTGGAAACTCGGGCACTGCTCGAGGGCCCGGGGTCAGTAGGGGGCCCCATGAGATTCCCCTGGTACCTTTTTCATAGGCTTTTTTGAGTTTGGGCAAGGACACAGGAGCCCCATGATCCCCTATTGCCTGAGGGCCCCATGAGTTGTCAGTCTGCCCCTGCTTCAGTTATATTGTCTGTGTTTAAAGAGAGGCAGGGCCAAAATAGGAACACAAGAACCACTGCTATCAGACTTAAAATATTGTAGGCCCTGCTGTGTGCACAAAGGTCATAGGTGAGAAATACAGCACCTTAAAGCCCTGTAGATGGGAAGTAGGCTGCCAGGTTAATGTTCCAATGTAAAGATCTGCAGGAGGTGAGGTGGCTGTCCAATCAGTATGGTGATCAATTGTGGCACCAGGGACTGAAGTACAAAGCTGAAGCAGCTGGGAAGTGTAGGTTTACAGTGGAGATGACGAGAGACCTGCATGAAGCCTTTTTGAAGTTGAAATGGAACTCTGCACCCCTTGATCTTCATATCAGAAAGCCCCCCCCCCCCCCCCTTGGAAACCACTAGTAACAAAAAAGTTCCAGCCTATCTGGGAAGAGAAATAGCCTAGGGAAGCTTAAAGGTGAAGCTACTATGGCAAGGTAATGGTGAAGAACTAGTGGTCTTTCATAGAGCATACAGGGTATATTCTGCATGCCGTGATCACTCAATATCATATCTATTTGTTTATTCATATTCAAGTAAACGTTAAAAAAACCAAAGATACTAAGAATTACACCCAGCATACAAGTCTAGAACAGTACTACTGAGCAAATATGAATTCTTAATAATCAGATTGCTAACAAAGCCAAGGGGTTACATTTTTAAACACAGCAAGATGCTGACAACAGTCATACAGAAAGTGTGCAACTGCCTCTCTCCCCCACCCCTTGACAGTATTCTATGGTATTTGTTCATACTTACTTTTCCTGTTACACAGTGGGTGCAGGGCACCATGGTGATGGCCCCCTTAGAGGGTAGTCCATGATGCTCTGCACTCACACTCAATGTTGGGCGGCATTCAACCTAAAGGACTGAAAACATCTTGTGGAAAAATAGAGTATTACAGGAGACAGCTCTGTATTGAATGGGAGTATTGCAGCCTAAGCTGCATTATTGTTTTTTCCACCTGTGGGGGGGAAAGGAACATGAAAAAAAAGAGCCTGTAGTTGGACTTTTAAGACAAAGATCCAACAGCTTATAGTTAATACCAGAAGTAACTATTATAAAGCCAGATAAAACATGGCCATTTAAACTCCAATAAAGTGAATGCCATTCAGTGAATTTAGCAGGCTGTGCTAGATGTGAAATAAAGCTTGTAAAGCAGCTTTTGTCACCAGAAGCAGAAGACTGTGTATAATAAAACACAAATATGAGGCCCTGGACTGCCCCTTATAGCAGAGTTTTGTGTGCTGTTGGCACAGCTACTGACTGTCCCTTTTTTGGAACCACATCCCTCCACCATATTTTCTCCTCAGTTGTCTCACATTTAACCCAATGATTAGACTTTTCTAGAAATCTATCATTTACCTATGAAATGTGTTTTATGACCCTAGTCTGTTTACATCCACCTGCCCAAAGACCTCCATGGAGCTCCCAGTCAGTTCCCTCTGAAAACTGACAAGTGGACCTGAAGGTAAAGGCCATGTGAAAGGGTCCTACGTACTATTTTATAAGCCATTATGAAAAATTTAATGTACAAGTCAATTGACAAAGATTACCTTCCTTAATCCTTAAAGGAGGAGCCCTGCGCGCCGTGACGTCACGCCGCCGGATCACGGAGGTCCGGCGGCCGCCATCTTTTAAAACCAGCTGCATCTAACCTCCCCAGGATCCCAGGTGACCATCCCGGGGCCCAGAGGAGAGAGATCCGTTACCAGACCCCAGCGCAGCTAACCTTTAGAGGGGACCTCTGACTGACATCAACCTGCCCAGATACATTGAGGAGGTTTTCCATACCAGGTTGCATCCTGTTCCATTAAAGAGGGGACCTCTGGCTGATATATGTAACAAATGCACATGTAAATTGCGCTTCTGGTGAGTGTGCAATTTTACTATTCAGCGCACGTCACCGGATTATTTACTCATACTGGGATAATTAGTCACCTATCTGGATTATCTACATCAACATTGAACTTCTGATTATTACTTATCATTATAATATTGTGTGCAGTCCCTGTTTGGGACAATATAGTATCTTATTTTTCTACTTGGACATCTTTTTATTGGTGAATTGATAATAGCCACATGCTTGGTTTCATTCCTATTACCGTCACCTTATTTAGCACTGCACTACATGGTTTACTATGTGGATATATGCTTATAATACACGTTTTTTTGCAGTTTTATTGATTATAGCACTGCATTCTAATCTCGTGCAGGTATACGTTTATGCATTCATATTAGTAATTTTATACGTTTATACCATTTATTTTTAGCGCTGCACTACGTTTTATTATTAGGGTAAAATTAGCATAAGATAAATAGTGGTTTTATAATGATTCATTCGTCTTAGTGAATCAAGCCTATTGTGCATTAAAAGGTTTGTTCACCTTTATACTAAAATTTGCAAGCAGTCTAGGGGCCCCAGAAATTTATAAATCAGGTGTAGCATTGAGAAAATGAGCCTTCTTTAACCTCTTGCTGCCCAAGTAGTGCACATGTGCAGCGGCGGAGAGGGTGGGGCTTTATCATCCACATGTCGCACATGTGCATCTATGAAAGACTGAGGTTCTCTGTGCTGAAAGTGCGCTCACTGCATGCTCAGCACAGTGTCATAGACAGCTCTCAGGGCACAGTCATAATTGGGAGCTGGTGGGATGGGCTTCTTAACATGTAACCACTGTAACAGCCAATTGCAGTGGTCACAAGATCGGGAATTCCACCCTACCCTAGGGCGTGAAGATCCACTTAAAGGGGTGCTTGGGCTAGACAGGAAGGGGTTATATTACGTATCTGTAGGCCAACCACCTGGCAATAAAAGTAACCTTCTGAATGATCATCACCATCATGCAGATAAGCTAGGACAGATGGTATGTTGAGTGACCCCCATCATCCCAGGAATGAGTTTGTAGCTACTGTATTGCTCATCCACAAACCACAGCTGTGACAGCGAGAGCAAACTGCGCATGTGTAGATTTGTGGATGAGGGAGAGCCTCCTACACATATGTGGACTGGAGGACAAGGGAGAGCGCACTGCGCATATGTGGATTGGTGGACGAAGGAGAGCGCACTACACGTTTGGATTGGTGGATGAAGGAGCACGCACTGCGCATGTGTGGATTGGTGGATGAGAGAGCGAATTGCGCATGTGTGGATTGGTGGACGAGAGAGAGCGCACTGCGCATGAGTGGATTGGTGGATGAGAGAGAGTGCACTATGCATGTGTGGATTGGTGGATGAGAGAGAGTGCACTATGCATGTGTGGATTGATGGATGAGAGAGAGTGCACTGTGTGGTGTGGATTGGAGGACGAACGAGAGCGCACTACACATGTGTGGATTGGTGAATGAGAGCGCACTACGCATGTGTGGATGGGTGAATGAGAGCGCACTACGCATGTGTGGATTGGTGGACAAAGAAGAGCGCACTACACATGTGTGGATTGGTGGACGAGGAAGAGCGCACTGCGCATGTGTGGATTGGTGGACGAGGGAAGAGCGCACTGCGCATGTGTGGATTGGTGGACGAAGGAGAGCGCACTGCGTATGTGTAGATGGTGGGTGAGGGAGAGCACACTGCACATGTGTGGATTGATGGACAAGCAATACAGTAACTCCACACTTGTTCCTGTGATGGAAGGGAACCTCTCAATGGACCATCTGGCCTAACTTATATGCAGGATAACGGCAATCATTCAGAATGCTTCTTTTTTTTGTAGAGGAAGATGAAAGAAAGAGCGCACAAACCTTGCGCATTACCTCAATAAATAGTGACTAATTTTATTAATAAGGAAATATACTCACAAAGTGATGGTACAACAGGCATAAGTAACCATAATCCACACAAGGTTACAGGTAAATCAAAAAGGGGGGGGGGTGAGGGCTAACGCGTTTCGAAGGGCGCTCCCTTCTTCATCAGAGCTGGGTTTGGCAGATAGAGACTTCAGTATGGCAGAGTTGCCATGGCAAGGAGATATTCAGCCACTGAGTGTCAGTATTACAGCAGTTCAGCCTGTTTAGTCACTAAACAGGCTGAACTGCTGTAATACTGACACTCAGTGGCTGAATATCTCCTTGCCATGGGAACTCTGCCATACTGAAGTCTCTATCTGCCAAACCCAGCTCTGATGAAGAAGGGAGCGCCCTTCGAAACGTGTTAGCCTTCATTCCCCCCCCCCCCCCCTTTTTGATTTACCTGTAACCCTGTTTGGATTATGGTTATGGTTTGGATTATGCCTGTTATACAATCATTTTGTGAGTATATTTCCTTATTAATAAAATTAGTCACTATTTATTGAGGTAATGCGCAAGGTTTGTGCGCTCTTTCTTTCATCTTCCTCTACAGTTTTATTAAGCTTCCCCAGCTTCATGATAGAGCTGCACAACCTCTGATCACCAGCGGATGAATACACAACACGCTGCTTGTCACCAACGCCTGTTTGATCTGAGTCCTTGAGCGCAGGAGATAATGGATCTTTGCTTCTTTTTTTTTGGCCAGGCTTCACAGAAGCTGCTGTTGGGGCTACAGGTATGTAATTTAACCCCTTTATGACCACCTAATACATATGTGCAGTGGCAAAAGGATGGGCTTTCATGCCCACACACATGCGTCACTGGGGGGGGGGGGGCTGAGGTTTCTGTGCTGAGAGCACACTCACTGTGCATTCCCAACACAGAGAAAGAGCTGTGAAAGACAGCTCTTGGTACCTGCTAATGATCAGTAGCTGGTCAGATGGGCTCCTGATGTGACCACTGTGACAGCCAATCATAATAGTCATATGATCGGCAAATCTTTCCCACCCCTGGGGTTTAGAACGTTTTAAAAGGAAGCCGGGCTGGGCAGGAAGGGGTTACAGGAAGCTCAATTTCTCCACACTGCACCATGATTTGTAAACCAACCGGGGCCCCCCTGACTGCTCTGCAAATGTTGTGATAAAAGTGAACTAACCCTTTAATTCCTCCTTCTCCATACAGATGGGGTCATGGCGGGAGTGTTGTGCTCTAACGTGTCCCTCTTTCTCATCTCAGGCTGTGGTGAAGTACGTAGCCCCTCCAGACTCAGCCCTGCTGTGCACAGAAGAGATTACAACACATTCTCCACATCGTGACACTTGCTGGGGACCAAAGTGTTAAATATTTCTCTGCCATCGCTTGCTGTTCATAGGGCGACCCTGCAGGAGACAACTATACAGAGAGGACGGTGAGGATTAATATTAAGAAACAAATCCATTTTATACCATAACACTGGTGACCTAAGAAGAGCTGCCACATTGAATGCAGGTCATTAACTCACCATGAACACCTTTTCTCTACTGTGACCCTGAACTGCTGCCTGATTCATCCACCGACCCAGCGCACACCATGTCCACATGATCCCTTGATGGCTGCAACTTCCTCCCATTCACAGGCAGCCCTGACAAGTGCCTGGCTCCAGATAAGCCTCATATACCTTCAGTATTCCCTGTAGCTTGCAAACAGGCATGTTGTAGGACAGCCCTGGGGGTCCTTTCATTTCCATGTCAACAGCAATGCTTTCTAAACAACATGGAGATTGCCTAGGGGAGAAGAATACATGCAGATTCTGAGACCTGACCACCTCTGGTAGGTGCAACACACCCTGGTCCTCTCCTGCTTTCTGCCTCCACTCACCTGAGCTCAGCCTGTGAACTCTTGTGACGGGTTTGCTTTCATTTCAGGCGAGATTAAAGTGTTACTAAACCCACAACAGTAAAATCGGTCTGTATATGCAGTAAAGCGTGCTTGTTATACTCACTGTGGAACCTAAGGGGTTAATTCTCCGCATTATGTAAAAAGGCGGTTTGATCCAGTCTTCTCTGAGCCTCCCCTTCTTCCACAGTTCCCAATCCATCTGCTGATAGTACAGAGCCCTAGGAGGCACGCTGCACATGCTCAATTTGGTGTGTATTGCTAGAGAGTTGGATTTTTTTTGCAAGGGAGCATTCGAACAGCACAGGGTCAATCAGCGCTGTCCGAACAGCGGGTCTGAGGTCATGCAACCTCATAGGGACAGTCAAAGGAGAATGAATCCTCTGCATTGTGTAAAAAGGATATTTGATCCTGACTTCTCTGTTCCTCCCCATGTTCAAGTGACCACCTCTTTACTCCTGATAAGACAGACTGAACCATAGGCATTTGCACATGCTCAGTTTGGTGTGTAATGCTAGAGAGGGTTTTTTTTTTTTTTTTTTTTTGAAGAGTGCATGTGATCAGCACAGGGCCAATCAGCACTGTCCAGACAGAGGTCAGGGGTTCTGCATCCTCCTAGAGCAGAAAAAAAACTCCTTCTCCTACATGCTTTAGCTAGTGCTGGGCTGGACACTGATAGAAGTCACATGATTGCTCTAACTTCTGATGAGAAAAGGTATTTAGCAGTTTATAATTACTAAAATAACTGCACTTCCATTTTGTGTGTACTGTGGGAGACCAGATATAGTGAATGCAGGGTCCTGGGCTTAGTAACACTTTAATCTGAAAGGAAGAGAAATGATTGGAGCAGAGGGAGTGGTCATATCAGAGGGTCTGGACGTCTGTCTGTTTAGTTATGTCACTTGGCAATTCTACACAGGAGCAATGAGATTATGAGACCGATTTACTACCAGATCGCTTTGCCATCAGGTGCAGTTTAGGGCTCATTCATTCAGATGGGCGTTTAAACTCGTCCTCCATGCAGAGCTTCAGCGTTTGGATCCATGCACCCACTCCTGTTTACATGTCAAATTTTGATGCCGGCATTGCATGTGCATCCTTTTTTTATGGGCTGCCTGCATGCAGCTCCGAGGTGGATTCGCACACATCTGGCAGCGGCTCTGTAGGACGGTATTAAATCACCCATCTGAATGAGCCCTAATAATGGTATCTGACAAATCACTGTCAGCTCTGGTTTAAATTGACCCAAGTGGTAATAAATGAGGATAATCACACTCTACAACACTACTGTGCAGTAGTACCACACAACATCACTGAGAGGGTGACACCATTATTCAGTTCTTCAGTTCAGATTTCTGTGTTTGTTTGCTGGTTCTACATGTGTTCCCCTCCAGTGTACACCCTCTTTTAAAGCTCCCCTTCACTTACCCAATGCCAAAATGTCTTTGGATAACAGCACTATTCTCTATTTAACCTCTCGCCTACTGGGCACTTTAACCCCCTTCCTGCCCAGGACAATTTTCAGCTTTCAGTGCTGTCGCACTTTGACAATTGCGCGGTCATGCAACACTGTACCCATATGACATTTTTATAATTTTTTTTTCTCACACACATAGAGCTTTCTTTTGGTGGTATTTAATCACCACTGGTACTTTTATTTTTTGCTAAACAAGCAAAAAAAAAAACCCAAATATTTTTCTTAGTTTCTATTATAAAATTTTGCAAACAGGTAATTTTTCTCATTCACTGATGTGCGTTGATGAGGCTACACTGATGGGCACTGATAGGCAGCACTGTTGGGTACTGATGAGGCGGCACTGATAGGCTGCACTGATGAGGCTTGCCCTCAGCAGTGTATGATTATCAGTGTAGATGTCTCCTTTCACCCTTGCTGGTTATCAGCAGCACTTTCCTCATGCTGTAACCGACAAGCGTGTTTACATGGTGATCAGCTATGATTGGACACAGCTAATCATGTGGTAAAAGCCACTGTGATTGGCCCTTTACCGTGTCATGTGATCAGCTGTGTCCAGAGGACACAGTGATCACAGAAAGGTCAGTGACGCCCTCGCAGAACTGGACGACTGCACTGTAGCCATCATTCGGCTATAGCACATTCAACAAGTGGTTAATAGACACTTGTTGACACCCAGTTCTGGCACTGGGGATTATGGGATAATAGGAGAGTAATGCAGGCCATAGATGGGGAGAAAAACTGCAGATTTTTCTTTTAAAAAACGAAAAATCGGTTGTTCAAGTGGCCGACGTTACCATCAATGGTAAAAAAAATCGGCTGATTTTCTACCCGTCTAGAGCCGGCAAAAAGTGTCCCTGCAGAGAGCTCTGCTATTTCTTTGACAGTTCTCTGACAGTTCCTTGACATTTATAGTAGTTGCAACAATGTATCTATTTGTTTCCATTTAGGATACAGATGTTTTTATTCGGAAACAAATAGATACAATGTTTCAACCGCTGTAAATGTCAAGGAACTGTCAGAGAACTGTCAGAAATAGCGGAGCTCTCTGCAGAGACACTTTTTGCTGGACTGGAATTCTTCTTATTTTCATCCTACTTCTTCTTATTATTATTCTTCTTCTTCATCCTCATCTCTTCTTCTTCTTCATCATCCTCATCCTCTTCTTCTTCTTCTTCATCCTCATCCTCTTCTTCTTCATCATCTTCATCCTCATCCTCTTCTTCATCCCCATCCTCTTCTTCTTCATACTCATCCTCTTCTTCTTCATCCTCATCCTCTTCTTCTTCATCCTCCTCCTCCTCCTCCTCCTCCTTCTTCTTCCTCATCCTCATCCTCTTCTTCTTCATCATCATCCTCATCCTCTTCTTCTTCATCCTCATCCTCTTCTTCTTCCTCATCCTCTTCTTCTTCTTCATCCTCATCTTCTTCTTCTTCTTCTTCATCCTCATCTTCTTCTTTTTCTTCATCCTCATCCTCTTCTTCTTCATCCTCCTCCTCCTCCTCCTCCTTCTTCATCCTCATCCTCTTCTTCTTCTTCTTCCTCATCCTCTTCTTCTTCTTCCTCTTCTTCATCCTCATCCTCTTCTTCTTCTTCATCATCCTCCTCCTCCTCTTCTTCTTCTTCATCCTCATCCTCTTCTTCTTCATCCTCATCCTCTTCTTCTTCATCCTCATCCTCATCCTCTTCTTCTTCCTCATCCTCTTCTTCGTCCTCATCCTCCTCATCCTCTTCTTCCTCTTCTTCTTCATCTTCTTCTTCATCCTCTTCTTCATCCTCATCCTCTTCTTCATCCTCATCCTCTTCTTCTTCTTCTTCATCCTCATCCTCTTCTTCTTCTTCATCCTCTTCTTCCTCTTCTTCTTCTTCATCCTCTTCTTCATCCTCTTCCTCTTTTTTTTCTCTTTTTGCCTTCCTCTTGCAGGTCACTGCTCATGCGCAGATTTTTTATCGGTAAAAAATCGGCCGATTTGCCCACTAATTGCCGCGAAAATCGGCCGATCGGCCGATTTTTTTTCCAACTTTACCGAAAAACAAAAACGGCCAAAATACCGAAAAACGGCCGACCAAATCGCCCACTAACGATCCGAAAATCGGCCGATTTTATTTTCGGCCGAAAAATCGGCCGATTTTCGACCCGTCTATGGCCTGCATAAGACTAGTGTACACAATGGAGGTTTAGTCACTTTTTTTTGTTGCGCACAGAGTGAGCTATGGTTAAAACCCCTGTCAGGTTTATACTGCTTGTTACATGCAGGGGTGGACTGACAACTCATGGGGCCTCCAGGCAATAGGGGATCATAGGGCCCCTATGTCATCGCCCACACCCCAAACAAGCCTATGAAAAAGCCAATGAAAGGTACCAGGGGCATCTAATGGGGCCCCCTACTGACCCTGGGCCCTCAGGCAGTGTCCGTGTGCTCGAATGGTCAGTCCGCCCCTGGTTACATGGAAAATGTTTGGTAGACTTGATATTAAAGTCTATTTTTTTTTTTTTATTATACTTACCTGCTCTGCATGCAGAAAGGACCTTCTTCTGCTCTTCTGCCAGTCCCCTCCCAATGCTATTGGCTTCTTCCTGCTCCAAGTGCCTCCATAGCACGCCGGGTGCTAAAGAGACACCCTTAGGTGCTTGCTCCCAAGACAAGCTGTGTGCATCCATAGACACGCACAGTGCTGGAAAGCCATACCCCCTGTTCCCTCCTCACAGTATTATTACTATACCGGATTTACACCTTGTTCCAAATTATTATGAAAATTCTATTTTTCTCATTTACCTAAATAATTGATGTAAATAAAAGTCAGCATAATTCTCATGTTATCAACTATTAAGAGTACAATTCACATTTTATTGAACAAACCTCCTAATGATAACAGGATTTTTGTTAAACATAAAACACTTACAATGCTCTGTTCCAAATTATTCCACACAGTAAGTTTCAAACCACTTTATAGGTTGTAAAGAACTGAAAATGGTCATTTGTTGTGTTTGCAGCATATTTACTGAAATCAAAAGCTATTTCAATCAAACTTTTAACAACATTTTAACTTTTTAAACATTTTAACAGGTCACGTTACATTGTAACATAGGACCCCTTATTGGATAGCAGCTTCACAAGTCTTGCATCCATTGAACTTGTGAGTTTTTGGACAGTTTCTGCTTGAATTTGTTTGCAAGATGTCAGAATAGCCTCCCAGAGCTGCTGTTTGGATGTAAACTGCCTCCCACCCTCATATATCTTTTGCTTGAGGATGCTCC